AGGGAAAACTTCTGGCAGCTTCTCACAGAAGCCACCCCTGTAGCCCCCCCACTACCAAGACCTTGCCACAGAAACGCAACACAGCATGTAATTCCATCTCTGCATTTTCAACAGTTACTACTACAAATGCTTTTAAAAAACAGGCCTCTTGGACTAGAACTGACAAATTAAGTGTCTAAATTAAATTTGTTCAAGTCATTTAGATTTGCACAGGGCACATGCTTGTGCAGAAACAGAGTTCACCCGTCTCACTTTCGCTCTCCCATTGCAAATGGATTTTCTGAAGTTTCTACTCTTTCCTTGGACAGAAGTAACACAAAAGCCTAAGTTCTCAAAATAGCCCTACATTATTATGTATCTTCCTTCCCATTTTTTTGCTTTAATAACTTTAGTGAATAATTCTTTTCTCTGTTTTTCTTTTTTGTCCTTCAAATATTTGTAAGATATTATCAAGTACTTTAAGCCCACTGGTTTCTTTGCTAGAAGGGGGATGGTAAAATAATAATGAAAACAGAATAGAAGGCCTACTTTTAACTCAGCTGGAGACTCCACCTACCCAGATCTGACTGGTCTTTAAAGATAAATTAATCTCTTTGTTTTATACCTTCTTTAAGTTTTTCTGAATGCAATTTTTCTACAGTTAATCAACAGGAATTTGTTGCTGTTCTATTCAGAACTTGTGTAAAGGATCTAATAGGCCTGTTCCTTCTGAGTCTCTACCACCCAATCCTGAGTGAGTCACTATGGTAATTACACAAAGGAACTCAGGAGTTTATCCCCTTGGTGAATGTCTCTTAATTGTTAGTTTATGACAGCTGATATTTCTGTAATCAGTTAAATAGCTAACCAGGTTTACCAAGTGGACTAAATGCTACTGTAGATGACCGATAGGCTGTGTATCCATAAGTACTGAGCAATCACCAGACTTCATGCCGGTGTGAGTCCCTCAGCACAGGACAGAGATTGCAATTTATAAGCCACTGTTACTCACTGCAGTCAAGTGCCAATGACAGGAAGAGCAACTAATACCATTTAATTCATAACTGAAAAAATATTTGTATTATACTCTTATCTACCCTTGATACCCCAGGCAAACTAAACCATACCTCCTCACGAAAATCTAATTTATTGTGCCAGTCACAATGAGGACAGTGTTGCATGATGTGATCAACTTCCATCGCAAATAACCTGCAGTGTTTCTAAGTAGTCATGTGCTTTTTTCTACTGCACATCTAAATGGCTTTTCATACACTACATGAGATACAGCTCTGACTTCTTGTTTGCTGTAGTCCCTTGTAACTTCCTTTTCTTGTGACAAAGAAATTAGTGGAATTACTATAGTCTGAAAACCTTGCAAATAAGTATTTTTAATTTTTTTTTGCATGTTTTAAAAACTACCTAACCAAAATAGAATCATAACTGAAATATAAGGTTTTCAGATTATTAATTATAAAGTCAGATTAAATCACTGAGTGCATTATAGACACAGCAGATAACACCTCATGGTATCAAATATTACTACAGTATCCTTAAAGCCATAATATTTAAAGATTTATATTAAAGCCATGCCCAAGTTTATTATAGTTTTGAATTTATTTTAATAATTATTTCATTTATATTTCAGATTTGTTAATTTCTATAGCATTAAAAAGTTGCAGTCTTAGGTACAAGATCAGCCCTCATAACACTAAACATTCTTTTTTTTTAATGCTTTAATATAATTTAAAATAACAAAAGTTCTCAAAAGAATTATTCTTTACACACATCAAGTTCTTTAAAACATTAAACACTTTTAGTAATAGTAATTTTCAATTACAAATTAATTTTCTTTTTTCCACCTTCCTGCCATTGACATTTGAGCAACTGTGGCCTGTAAACTACAATTTCTAACCTCAACTTGGCAAAACATTAGGACTATTCTTTAAAATAAAAATAGATTTTAAATGTTACTCTTCCACACAAATTCACCATAACTAACAAAAGCAAACTGCTTTGTTGGATGCCCTGAATAACCTCTTTTTATTTCAGAAAAGGAAATCAGAACAAGATAATTCTTGCCAGCAACTTGTTATTTTGATCCTCTATGAAGTAAGGAAGACAGAAGATGAAAGGATTAACTACAATTTCTCAAGACAGTCCACTTATTTCAGGGAGGCCAGAATCCCAGCCCACATTTAAAACACTTTTTGGTGGGTTTTTTTGTATAACAGCATCTCTGTCCTAGTTCATTCTCCCCAAACTCTTGAACTCTGCTTGCATGTAACTGCTGTCAAATATACATCCTTGTAGTCTTGTAGAGTTAAACTAAGTATGTGTCCTGGTTTCGGCTGGGACAGAGTTAATTTTCTTCCAAGTAACTGGCATAGTGCTGTGTTTTGGGTTTAGTACTAGAAGAATGATGATACTTTACTAATGTTTTAGTTGTTGCTAAGTAGTGCCTAGACTAGTCAAGGATTTTTTCAGCTTCCCCTGCTTGGCCAGGCGCATAAGAAGCTGGGAGAGTACACATCCAGGATAGCTGAGCCCCACTGGCCAAAGGGCTATTCCATACCATCTAACATTATGCTCAGGGCGGGGAGTTAGCCCGGAGGGAGAGTGATTGCTGCTCGGGATGGGCTGGGCATTAGTTGGCGGGTGGTGAGCAATTGCATTGTGCATCACTTGTTTTGTATATTCTGTATGTTCTCTTACCATTCTCATTACTACTATTGTTATTCTTTTCACTTACTAAACTGTTGCTATCTCAGCCCAGAGCTCTTACTTTTTTTTTTCCGATTCTCTCCCCCATCCCACTGAGGGACGGGGGTGAGTGAGCAAGCGGCTCCGTGGTGCTCAGTTGCCAGCCAGGTTAAACCACAACAGTATGTAAGAGTGAGAACTTGGAAAGTTCAGTCTCCCTGACCTGCAAATCCATGTGAAGTCAGTAGTCCATGCTACATTCAACACCGGAAGACCATCCCTCCAACAGGATGCCATACATAGTCAGTCTAGTTACTCCTGGATTAAGCTTGAGGCTGAGGGTGGGCACCTTTGAAACTGTTTCTTGGGCCCCTGCATTAGATCTCATTAACTATGCTTTCCAGTCTTGCAGGCACCTCCTAGGATGCAGATCTTAAGGCCTTTCTTATAGTCTTATAAACCCCACCACTAGAAGATTAAAATAGTTCACAAAAATGTATGGATTTTATAACCACAGCAGTTGTGGGATTGAAATCCGTAAATAATTTAAATCATTTTTTCTTTCAGAAATTGAGAATTAGGGTACAAGACTGTATTATGGTCACAGAAGAATTCTATTCACAGACATTTGAGAATGATCTGAGAGCAATGCTGTTCTGAGATCTGATTCAATGCCTTTCTTCTATATTGTATTTCAGTGACTTTCAGCAATGAAGAAAACCTGAAAACACAAATGGGCTCTATAACATTATATTAACACAGAAATAATTAAAATTTTTGAAATTTGTGTATATTCACATCCAGTAAGTGAAGGAAAGGTTTCTGCAAGTTTGCTTTATCTGTATTTTGCATACAGTGTTTAAGAATACTTAAGGTGGTGTTGCTGCCAAAAATGTAATCTAGTCCTTCTCTTAATCCTAGACACGTGCTCTTATTGCCTATCTCCCACTCACTCAGCAATCCTCAGAATATAGCCCTAGTTTGACAGCAATCATCAGAACCAAATCAAAAGAAAGGGTTAGGATGTGTGGCAAGGGATAGAAAAAGCCTTTTCAGCAGTACTCTGAAGTTGGATAAACTTCTGCTTAAGAGAGGGTAGGATGTATTTTTTCTTTCAGTTACCTCTAGTAAACTACTCCCAGTGGTGGCCAGCGCAGCCCAAAGTGCATCAAGAAGCTTTACATCAAGATGCATCAAGAAGCATCAGCTTACACTGATTAACAGGCTGCAGAACCTTCCTGTGATGCAGTGCCCTGCCAGGAGACTCTATGCATGCCTGGATTTTTGTTTGGTTTGTTCTCACTACTCATTTTTGGTACTTGTCAGAAGTTATGAGAACTATGGGATGTGGGATCAAAATAAATCTTCCATAGTAATGTTTTGTTGCAAAAGATTCTACCAATATTAATGTGAAATGGGCCAGAAAGTGTTAGGATTACTGAATCTTTTGACTCTCTGACCTCTTCTGCAATGTGAACATTTAGCATCATAGATCACTAAAGCCATTTTGAGAAACAGTCGAACCTTTCTTATCAAGCTTATGCAGCAGTTGCAGAATGAAAGTGGATGTGATCCATGGTCAGATATTTCTATTATGGGTCGGGGACGGAGAGGAAACATGAGATTAAAAGCACACAGATGACAGTTTCTGGAATTAAAAAAAATGACCATATAGTACAGTTAGCAAAATTCTGAGAATTCCTAAAGGGCACAGATCTAAATATTCTTTTTAAGATAAAAGGCCTGGGTTTAACCATCCTGCAAGTGATCTAACTGTTCAAGGAAATTCTGATTTTATTTTTTTAACCAATATAACAGGCCTATGCTAAGTAAATTGTTAATTTTATTACCTCAGTTAAAGAAAGGTATTAAAGCTAGACAATTTAATCTGTGTTTCTCAGTGTTATTAAATTATTGCAGAGTATTTTTTCTCTGTTATTTTTTTTTATATTGTTTCTGAAAGGTCCTGAAGGTGATTTTTATTTATTTGTTTGTTTAAGGGGTTTGGTGAAATAGTTTACTTATATTTGGTCTTTGTTTCCTTTTTTCAGGTGTGAATATAGACTAGTAAGTCATTTTGATTCTCTTTCTTGTATCATAAATACTCATTTAAACCTTTTGCCCTTTAGTGTGACAGATGTTAATTTGAAATGCAAATGGAAGGGTGCATTTGGAGAAAAGAACAAGTGAATTGTGTCCAAAGTGTCATCTTATATACTATCCAAATAAATAATTAGCTATTAATTTGTTTTTAAAATCCCATTTCCCAAAAATTCTATTTGCAACTCACTTAAAACTTCAGAATTAGACATTTCCTAGAGTAATTCCAAAATTGCACAGATACTCCTTAATACCTGAAGATACTGGGATAGCAGAGAAAATTGTTGACCCCAAGAAGGCTGCAAATGGGCTATGTGTGTGTAGGTGTTATTATTCCCGTACCTTTCTTCTTCTGAGGTGCATAAAATATCAGACTGATAATTCTGCAAGAGGCATATATGGAAGAAGGAAAATATTATCTCCTGCAAAGGGGAATATGAGGCATGCCCAACACCAAAGGACCATTAGATGAGAAATGAGTGTGGAGAGAAAGGATGTGGTAGAGCAACTAATAACTGTGAACTTATGTTGGGAAATTTATCTTGAGGCTCAGCCTAAAAATAAGGAAAAGGACTGTGGTTAACAGGGACCACAGGGTCTAATGCTGTGCTCAGTTTAATGATATTGTGCTCTGCTTAACAAGTTTGTGCCAGTGAGTCTGATCCAGAATGCCATCTTCTCCTTATAATCATGTATGGGGTATCAAAATATAACTGTGCATGAAAGAAAACAGTGGAGAACAGTCTAGAATGAATTTAGATTTCCATGCAAAAATTTTTAACATTCCAGCACAACTATCAGGAGAGAACAAATAACAGCAGAAGAGGAGGAAATGCCTTCTTACAAATAACATATACTAAAAGAGGTGCTCTTTTCAAATCAATTCAAGGGACTCTTGAGCCTCTATTATTTAACTTTCTTAGACAAGGTCAAGCAAATTAATATTTCCCTCTTCTTTTGGGATCAGTTTTATCCAGCTTGGATTTCTGATTTGGTATCTGTAAAGTGAGAGAGAACAAATATGGGAAATGCGTCATACTCTGTCAAGCTGTCAGTTTTCCAAGTAGTATACTCACAGTGCATACATACTCATTACAGAATTATTAACATTTGGAAAATCAATTCTCCACAGTAATTCTGTCATTAGACACATCAAAATACAAATGACATGTTTGTGGTTTTCTGTAGTCACGTATAGTTTTTAATTCCAGAACCAAAAAAAGAACAGTATCTGTGCTGTGTTTTCAGTCTTTCAACTATGAAGAGATAGAGAAGAGTAAGCAGTCCTAGTAGAATGAAGTAAGAGAGGAGACGTGGAGAAAGGGTTGCTTAGTTCCATGATAAATGCACTTGACTGAGAGAAAAAGTTGGATTGTATATGAATTAGGAAGACAGTGGGCCTGTAGCAGAGATTGTGCAAGGAGAAATTTAAGATGCCTTGCAAGAGAACAGAGAATTGTTGGAGCACCGAAACAGCTTTCCTGAAACTGAAACACAGAATAATACTCAGCATCAGTTCCATACAAACTGTGCAGCACGCACAAATTAAGTCCTGAAGATGCACAAAGTGTTAGAATGTAACAAAATACTTCATCAGACTTAAAGATTAAATGCATTTTATTTTGCAATTTGAATTTTGGAAATTCAGTTTTTCAACATCAGTGATCCTAAGGATTTGAGACTGTCTATCACTTATTTTCATTCTTGCTGAACACCTTAACTTCCTGGGCTCTTATCTAGTTCATATATTTTTCTCTGGAATCTCCTTGCATTACAAGACTGCAGCTCCCTCCTCACATATTCCTGCAACCAACACTGAACACAGCAAGGGTGCAGTTGTAAGCCTGTTCTGTAGCTCACTCAAGTGAACACCTCTGAGGTTAGTAACATATGCTGACACTGGGAATAGAATTAATGAAAAGCCATTATTAACTCTAACTATCCCTCACTGTGAAGCAACCAGTACCTTTTTTCACTAAGCTCAAAATATTTGTGATGTCTTCCCTGAATTCTGACAGTTTCTAGTTGGCCAAATCACTACTTAATTTGCTTCCACCAGACACTCCCAAAATGTTTGGCCTCCCTTCAAGCTAAGCCCAGCTTTACTTCAGTAAACTCTAAATGAATAAAATCCACAATAAAATCTCTGCATATGCACAGTCCCTTATCTTGCTATTACCCAACTTCTTTCAACAGAATTGATACCATTAGATGTCCAAGTCTTGCCATCTTTCTAACTCAAACAGTGGCACAAACCCAGTCAACCTCTTTTACCCTGTTATTTTCCAGGCACTGTTCAGACATCTTCCTACCCACAATTCTGTCATATTATTTTATATGTGGCACTGATAATGATAGAGAAGATTGATAATAATATGAATTGTCTGAAACACTTACTCAGGACTTAGCTGTAGCTACACTGCTTGCTGCTTCTCCTTTTGATGCAACTCAACCAGTTAGCATATCTTAAACTACTCTGTTTTGTCTACATTAAACTTTAAGGACATCTTAGAGCATGCTAGAAAATGCTTTCTAACAGCTCACCTTTAGAACTCCTCAGTGATTATATCACAGTAAGACCACTGACATCAGGATATGAGATTGTGTTGGGAGATAAGTACTCAGCTAGCACTTCAATAAAGCAGTTATGTTAAAGGAACCTCATCTGGAGCTATGTTTGAGAAACTCCAGCTCCTTTTATTATGCTCTGTGGAGCCAAAGCTTAGTCTTGGGATACCAACTTGACAGCTACCTAAATTGAAGACTATACCACCAATGGAGTCCTAAGCTGAAAATGTTTCTAAAACTTATGCCAGGTGGACAAAGCTGATGGTGAATAAGTTTGTAAAATCTGAGGAAGACAGATGGCCCGCAAATCTAATGATTATACTAATGTATATATCAGATATGCTCCACGTATGGGGTGCACAGGAATTATCTACTGTCCCTGATCTTGTTTAAGCCAAAGGTTGAACAGAAACAGAAGTGCTTCATTGGGCTGAAAGGGATAATGCCCACAAGTTTCTGTAACTAAAAGGACATGCGAATGCACTGTAGTTACTTTGACATCTGAGCATTTCAAGTTCAAAGACACCATGCACTCCAAGAGCACTGTCAGCCCTTTAACACTACATCTGAAAGGACAGGTGACCATTTCCAGCTGAGACATCTGGAAGTAGTTTTCTGTGGATGCCCATTGAGAAGCTGAGACACACACCTTTGGAATGTGTAAAAAACCATCTTCATTGCTTTTTCACCTGACTTCAGTAAGGTCTGATGGTGCAAATATCCAAGTGAGACAAATCTGAAGCATTTAGTACACACTGTGATACAACACATGTATTTGGAGAAAATCTTGCTTCTTTGAGTCAATAGTTGCAAAGTTGACATAAGTTGTAAGTATAATTCACCAAATAAATTAATTAATTTAAAAACTTTCTAATTATTATTGTTGATGATTCTATCTTTTGGCAGACAAAATGAAAAAAATAGTAGCTGGTACACAGACACATTAAATAATGGGTATGGATCAGCTACAACCAAAATAAGTACAGATAGTATCACTATAACAAGCTTCAAAAAGAGAGGAAAAGAGCCAACTGTTAACTGAGTTGAGTCAGACACAAGTAAAGTTAGTGAGAATAGTAGGGATGCACAGGGTTCCATAACTGATGAAAATACACAATAAAACCAGCCTGGGATAGCTTGCAGCACACTGTTGGCAAGCAAGTAGCCACAGAAGGGAACCACCTGACCTCCTAAACTAGGTTATCCTGCACAACATGTGAGAAACATGAGACCTGAGATGAAGTGGGAAGACAAAGAAGCAAAAGTAATAAACATGGAAGAAAATAAGAGCTATGAAGATATGAAAATGGCACAGAATGAAAGCAATCCAACAGAAGGGAAAATGTTTACCATGTGTAAAAATGCTGAGTGCTCCTTTTGCATATGCCAGCTAAACAATCACAAATCTTCAAAGCATGCATATAGACAAACAGAAACTTATGCTGAGCAGACCACTGAACTGTTTTGAGCTTCTGTACAAAACACAGAAATGGATGTAGATAAAATGCACATCATATTACCTATGGAGAAGCTTAAAAGGTCATAAGAATTCATACTAGAGGAGAAGTGTTAGTCTGTTTCACCTCAGAATCGGCAGAGAGAAAACATTACACAAGGAAACACTCTGAAAGCATATGAGATCTACCAAACCAGCAAAATACAGAAGCTCCCCATTGCAGGCAGCCGGAACAGGCACATATTGACTCGAACTTAAGTCAAATTTAAAAAAATACTCTTGTAAAGTTGACTGCATATCATAAATCTTAAAGAGCTACTCAGACAGATGAAAGCCATGCCAATAGAATCAATATAGACCTAACAGAAATTATCATTAAAAGGAAAATAAAATTACACATGTTTAAAAAAATGAGTGTATTCTAAGTACAAAGAATAAAAAATCATTGAAGGATCACAGGAAGCAATGAAACATGCTTTTGCAGTATGATGAAGTAGTCATAGAATCCAGTTACATGAAGGATGATGCTGAAAACAAAACAGAGTCCCTCCTTTATAATGTCTCTCTCATATCTTATTGACTGCCATTTCTCTCCTCCAGTTGAGGAACTGGTTGTTTTTGGCAAAACTAGAAAAACAGTTTGAAAGGCCAGGAGCCCTCCACAGGTCTTGATCCCCAAGTGAGGCTGTGGCATGACTACTCATGATCAGCTAAGTTAGAGATACAGACCAGGGTTGATTCACATCCCAACAGCCCCACACAAACAAACAACTACTATGAATCTGAACATCTAAGTGAAGACAGTCTTACAAGCCTGCATGTTCAAAGTGAGCACTTAAAGGCATTTGTGGGAGGAAAACACACTTGTTCTCAAAAGGCAAGAAGGTAGATACCATCCTGTTCTTTCTGCGGTCACCAACAGATTGCAGTGATAAGCTACAGGCCTGTCATTTTTTTGCTACCAAATACGTACCTATCTCTGAAGTTTCTTGGACATGTTGTTTGTGTAGTTGTCATAAATGGTATGGGGTGGTCTTTTCATTTTATTATCATTCTTTCTTTCTTTATTATTTTATTTTTATTTAATTCTACCTTTTAACTTGTGTGACTTTCTCATACACGATGATGGTAGCCCAGGGATGAAAGGGTCATATGCAGTTAGTGCCTGAATGGAGGAACACACTGTAACCGAACAGTGAGACAATTTAATCTCATAGTGACAAATGTGAGACAATCTGTAGGGGTGAATTTTCAGGAGGAATAGCCTGATGGAACTAGTACTTCAGCTACAGACCATGAAGCAAATACGTGTGTAGAAATAAACAGCAATAGCATTTGGACTTTCACAAACCACAGGTGACACTGGCCCATCACTAGCCAGGGGAATCTGAACATATCTACTAGAGTTGTAGCCAGAAAAAAGGTATCCCTTTTGCATGTCATTGTCCATTGTGATACTTGATGACAGTAGTGTTCCTCAATGTATCATATAGGTAGAAACACGGTTCTTATTTCTTCTACTGTAAGGCCTTAAACTTCATAAATAGGAAAAAGTACTATTTGCAGGACATAATGTACCACCATGGGAAATAGAATCATAGAATTGTTTAGGTTGGAAAAGACCTTTAAGATCATCAAGTCCAATAGTTAACACAACCCTGCCATCCCACCACTAAACCATGTCCCTAAGAAGCTCTTCTACCTGTCTTTTAAATACCTCCAGGGATGGGGACTCAACCACATCCCTGGGCAGCCTGTTCCAATGTTAACAACCCTTTCAGTGAAAAATTTTTTCCTAAACCTGCCTTGGCACAACTTGAGGCCATTTCCCCTTGTCCTATCACCCAGTTTGGTGTCATCTGCAAACTTACTGAGGGTGCACTCAATCCCCTTGTCCAGGTTATTGATAAATATATGTAACAGAACTAGCCCCAAAATGGAGCCCTGGGGAACACCCTTTGTGACCAGCCGCCAATTGGGTTTAACTCCATTCGCCACAACTCTCTGGTCTCGAAGTGTGCCTGTCTAAGCCATGAGCCGCCAGCTTCTCTAGGAGAATGTTGTTGGAAAATGTGTCAAAGGCCTTGTGAAATCCAGGTAGAGAACATCCACAGC